CCCACAGCCAGGCCTGAAGTTTTCAGGCGTCATGGCGCCCGCAAGGCCCGCTCCTCGCGAGCCTTGCGGCGCTCTTTGCTGATGGCGGCCTCCGCCCTCGTCTGGTTTGCGATGTACTCCAGCAACTCCGGCGAGATGCAGAGATTGGCCTTGGAGACGCCTGCGCCGAGGAAGTAGCTGGTCTCGGGCGAGCTGGAGGTCCCAGCTGCGGCGCCGCCTCTGGCCGCGGCCTTGGCCTTGGGGGCTGCGCCGCTCGGAGGTGCCGATCGCGTCTCGTACACCCGCTCCTCCAGGAGCTGGAGCTGGCGAGCGACGATCTCGAACGATGCCATCTCGGCGATCTGCAGCTGGTCGCACACGACGGCGAGGTCCAAGACGCGGCAGAGAGTCTCGTGGAGCTTCGCGTGCTCGTCCTCGTCGGGCAACGCCATCGACGCGAGCCACCTCTGGTGCCACGCCGTGGGCGTACCCGCCATCGTCGACATGAAGGACAGGCACCAGAGGAGGGTCCTCGGCCCTTGCACAGGCCAGCCCTGCACGGGCGTCTCCGAGAGGGCGTTGACGGTCTCGCCGAACCTCCTCTCGCGCTCGCCCCGCGGGTTGAGCAGCATCGGGAGGATCCTGAAGTCGCCGACGGGGGCGGGCGCCACAGGGGCGGCGGCGGGGAGCGCAGCCGCCGCTGCGGGTGCTGGCGCCAGCGGCAAGGCTCCCGCGGGCCCAGGCGGGACGGCCCCCAACGCGGCGGCCAGCGCAGCGACGCCAGGGGCGACGCCGAGAGGGGCCGCCGCAGCGGCCGCTGCCGCGGGGGGTAGCGCCAGCGGGGCCACAGCCCCCGCAGGCGGCGCCGCCCCTCCCCCGCCAGGTGGTGGCGGCAGGGCCGCAGGCGGCAGGGCGGCCGCAGCCGCAGGGTCCGCCAGCGGGAAGGGACCAGGCGGGGCGCCTGCCACGCTGCCCGCCGCGAGCGCCAGCGGCAGAGGGTCGGGGGGTCTCGGGTAGCCCGCGGCCACCGAGCGAGCGACAGCCGCCCACAGCTCCGCGGCCGTCGGAAGGCGGCGGAAGCGGTGCACCGCGACGCCCGCCAGGGCTGGCGGCGTGTCGCCCTGTCCCGCGAGCTGCAGGACCGCTCGCACGTCGGGGCCGACGACGATGAGCTCGTCGTAGTCGTCGAAGTCGGGAGTGAGGATGTAGGCGAGGCCCCCGTTGACGCCACGCACGAGGCGCTCGTGCCAAAGGGGCACGCCACCGACGCGGTTGCGCAGCACGTGGAAGCTGCCCGCCATCACTGCAGCGCTGGGGCACGGGCTCGGGCGTCACGGACCTGTTGGGCCGCGAGGGCGGCGATGTCGATGCCGTCTACGGTCTCCACCACGGCGGGCGGCTGGTGGGCCGACTGCCCGAAAAGCCGCCGCGCCGCCCAGGCGCCTCCCACGGCCCCGGCGGCGAGGCCGACGGTCAGCGCGGCCACCGAGTAGGCCGTGACGAGGCCCAGGCACGAGGGCTCGACCACGTGCCCGCCCGCGCCTGCGCAGGCGCAGGAGGGGCAGGCGAAGATCGGAGGCGCGGGGCAGGCCAGCTGCGGTGAGCAGGCCCCGCAGCTGGGCGCGGCGGCCCGCGCCACGACCGTGGCCCCCAGCGCCTGCGCCCCGTACCTCAGGACGTCCGCCGCATGGTGGGCGATGTCTTGCATAACTGAGCAAGACACCTGAGAGACTTGAGAATGGAAGCGCTGCCCGAAAGAGAGCCACAAATAGCCGCGGGCAGCATAATGATGATAATCATGACTATGGTGATGATGGTGTTGATGGTGGTGACAACGGCGAATCTTGTATCGATGGCATCTAAACCAGCTCCAAGAGACCCCCCGAAGCCCCCCAGAGGGTCCCAAGAGAACTCCAACGGGTCCCCAAGAGCGTCTTGTGAAGCCCCGTCAGGAATCCAAGTGAGATCCAAGATGGCTCCAAGAGGCATCGAAGAAGTGCCCAGAAAGAGCTTCGGTCCACCATTGTGACTCCGCTGCTACACTAATGTGCTTATCTACGTCGCTCTCCCGAGCAACTCCCATTGTCATCGTTCCTGGATGGGCGATCTTAAACAAGAAAAGTAAGCCTGGATCTCATCCTCCTCTTCCTCCGCCTCCTCCTTCGCCCATACTATTTGTACTCCTCCTCCTTCTCCTCCTCGTCGTCCTCTTCCGACATCAGTACCCTCACAGCACCACAAGGCGATCAGCGCCAATGCATGCATGTGACGTGCGAAAACACGTGTGCCGCAAGGGGTCTACAACTACCAGAATCAAGTATACCGCATGGCGTATGGAGAAAAACCTACCACGGGAAGGCCTAAACACGCTTCTCCCTCTTCCTCCGAGGACGTTATGTTGGATGTCAGGGACGCATCGACTCCACAATAGATCACGCCAGCAGAGACATAACGAAGTCACCTGGGGACATAGATGCGTCAACGCGCCATGCACCCCCCAGATCGAAAGACCCGCACAATAATTGATGATTGACTCCTGTCGTCGTCGGTGTCGTCGTCGTCGTCTCCTTCTCCCTCCCCCATCCTCTTCTTCTTATTCCTCTTCATGCTCATCCTCCCACCTCCTCGTGCTCAAGGTAGCGGCTGCCCTCATTCTGTTTCATTGCATTCTGCCACACATCTCTGACCATGGGAACTCACGTGATGTTTTTGGGATGGGCTGGTGGGGATACATATCAAGAATTCGGTTCGCAGCCCCCTGCGTAAGGATGTTCGGAGTGCTGAACTGAAAACACTGCTTGGCCCTTCCACCAAATTCCCGCAGGCCCGATGCGCTGCATTCTGGTAAAATTTCAATTCATCTGATCTTCAATCTTGGTTGCAAGATGGGCTCCAATATGGCCCAGTTCGTCAACAAGTCCGTCCAAGTTGAACCATGTTGCCTCCAATACAACTCCAATGGGGCAAGGATGCCGGCAATAGTGCACACGATGGCCACAACACGGTCCAATTAGCTCGCCATGCGCCTCAAGAAGGCTCCAAGAAGCCTCCCAGGATAACCTCAAGAGCTAACACTCAGCGGTGCAATGTAAGACTTAAAATGTTGTTCGTCTTCTCTCCTAGCCTGGTTTCCGACAGCCCGGACGGGCCTCAATATGTCGCACATATTGGCGCCAAAAGGCCCCCAAGATAGCTCAAGGCAGCCAGAGACGGCTCCAATGGCGCCCAAATGGCCAGAGAGCCTCAAGACAGCCCCACAAGGCCCGAACAGAGCCCCAAGACGGCCCAGGTAGGTCACCAGAATAGCCTCCGCAAGACAGAAGGCCCAACAGCGCCCTGAGACGGCCCAAGACAGCCTCAAGATAGCCTTGGCGGGTCCCAAGAGGCTACCAGGAAGGCCCAAACGGGCAGAGAAAGGGCCGCAGCCCAGGACGGCTGCAGAGGACCCCTCCCTGGTGTCCCCCCAACGGCTTCCCCAACGGCTGGGGAACCATGCGGTCCCCTGGTGTGTCGCCCTTCCGCCCGACACTTCACGACACAGGCGTTTCCAGAGGGCCAGGGCCGATGGTGGCCCGGCGCAGTGCGAGGCGCGGCGAGGCGCGGCGCGCCGTGCCCGGCCAAGACGGCCGACCCGCAGAGCCCAAGGCGCAGGACCCGCGGGCCTCACAATGTCGCTCCTCTACACCAGATCGACCCTGACTCCGGATCCGCCCTACTTTGGGGAAATTCGTACGTAGGGCTTGGAATTTCCGCCTTCCTTTTCAAGCCCCGCTGGTGCCAATTTCCGCCCTGCTTTTCTGTTGCTGTTTCTGTGGATTTCCGCCCTATTTTATGTTGGGTGCAGCAATTTCCGCCCTACTTTTTCGGCCTCTTATAGGTGGATTTCCGACGCAATTTTAAGCTGGAGAAAAAGCCAAAGTAGGGCGGATCCGGAGTCAGGGGACCCCAAACGGACTCCGGTCCCTGGCGCAGGCGTCTTCGATCAGTGCTCCTGCGCAGTTCCCTCGGCAGTGGAGGCCAGTCCACAAGAAGCCTTCCACAAGAAACCCAACCCTGAGACCCCAGGAAGTCCATTGGTTCTTGGCGTGGGAACGTCGCGCCTTCCGCGGCAAGACCGTGGAAACCCAAGAAGCCCAGGGCACCCTGGAGGCGAGCAGGGTGTTTCTTGGCCTGGGGCCCCCACTGCAAGTCGATATTGCACCCAAGCTCCCGACAGCGAACAGCAGCCTCCTGGGCACGGCGGGGAGCCGACAACGCGCCATGCGCCGGCGACGCGAGTGGACGACCTCGAGTCGATGCAGCCATGGTGGGCCTGCCCCCGCGCCCGGCCACGCAAGCGCACCGCTGGCGGAGGGGAGCTCCGTGCCCGCCTCGACGCCGGGGCTCCACCGCGACCAGCGCTCCCGACCTCATCTCCAGAGCGATCCGGCAGGCCCACGGGGAAGCCAGAGGAAGAGTTTGGGAGGAAGAGGCCTTCCGGTGCACCATCCTGCCCTGTGCTCCGAGCCGCGCCCAGCTCTAGCGACAAGGGGGCTCCCCGACGGCCTAGAAAGAGGATGAGGAGGTGACGTTCGTTCATTTTGTATCACTACAGCAGGCACCCACGAGAATGAACATGATAACGTGAAATCAACGGGCACGGAATCGGTCTTTCAGCTTCCTGAGGTGCTCTGAGTGCCTATGCGGGTCCAGAGGGCCATCTGCGGATAACACTTTTCCGCAGGGCCCCTTCAGGCAGGGTGGTTTCTCATTAGATCTTATTGAAGGCGGTCAATGAATTACTTCTTGCACACGCGTTCGAACAATACTCCCATACCCCCTGACATGCACATCACCAATAACCAATTTGGCTCAGCAAAGCCTCGGAAGGGACGAACCGTGAGCCCGATACTGGGAATTTCCATCCGGGTGCTTCCACCGCCGGGCTTGATGGCTCAATCTGATCGAAGTGAAGGACCCCGCCCAGATATCAGACGAAGTGGTGCTTCAACCCACGGACCCCAGAGATCTCGACCCCCTAATTATGGACAGCCGGCGGTTCTGAAACCATGCTCGATGGCACCGGGGCCAACGCCACCAGCTGGATACCGACATGGACTTGAAGCCTGCCGTACAGAGGCAACCAGCCCGGCCTCCGCCCTGCCCCCCCCCACGTCGGCCGCGCCTACGATGCTGTCGGCCAGCTTCTGCGCGATCTTGTGAAAGAGGGGGGCGCACCGGCTGGCCTCTCCGATCAAGAACCTGCCCCGCACAGCTTCGCCTCCACCTCCCGCCTTCTCCTCCCTCTTCCCCTCCCCCCCCACGTGCTGCCTCCACGCCTGGGGGCTCCTCCTCCGTCCTGTCCTCTTCCTCGTGCTGGGGGGCGGACGGGGAGGGCAAGGGGAGGGGGACGAAGAGGAAGCGGCAGGAGGGGGGCGGCCCGAGGACGGAGCAGGATGGCGAGGAGGCACGCCAAACACGGCCCCGTACGAGCACGGAGCCTGGTCCCATACCGCACGCGGAGTGAAACAACTACACGAATGACGCAAGATGATCTCTGTTATTGTTTCTCTGCGTCGGCACAGAATGCACTCAGCTGGTTTGTTGGCCAAGCATCGGAAAAGGAAATAGGATTCAGCAGGGAGCGGCCGTCCCGGCATTCCTAAAGGCCTACCACGACATGTTCTTAGAACCCGAAGACACACTCTAAGAACCCAAACCATGTTCTTGGAGCACGAGCCCGATGTGTCAAAACAGGACGGTCCCGGCCAGAAATGTCCTGACAACACTTCGCACAAACCACAAACAAGGTTCGTAGAGCATTGTGCGGCAGGCCTACAGTGGAGGCCTGTCCACAAGAAGCCTTCCCCAAGAAACCCAACCCTGAGACCCCAGGACGTCCATCGATTTTTGGTGCGGAACATCGCGATTCCCACCACAAAACCACCGAAGCCCAAGAAGCCCAGGGCACCCTGAAGGCAAGCAGGGTGTTTCTTGGCATGGGTCCCCACTGTACAGGCACGCCAGGGCGCCTCGCCACGGAGGACGAGGAGGAGGAGGAGGAGGAGGAGGAGGAGGAGGAGGAGGAGGAGGAGGAGGAGGAGGAGGGGGAGGAGGGAGGAGGGGAGGAGGAGGGAAGAGGAGGAGGAGGAGGAGAGGAGGAGGAGAGGAGGAGGAGGAGGAGGAGGAGGAGGAGGAGGAGGAGGAGGGCCCGCCGAGGGGGAGCGGGGGCCGCACCACGGCCACAAGAGGACGGGGGCCGAGGCGGGGAGCTGCGGGGGCAGGGCGCCGAGGCCAAGGGGGGGGCCACCTCCTCCTACTCCTCCTCCACCTCCTCCTCCTCCTTCTCATATTCCCCTTCCTCCTCCTCCTCCTCCTCCTCCTCCTCCTCTTTCTCCTCTTCCTCCTCCTGTTCCTCCTCCTCCTCCTCCCTGGGGGGGGGGGCGGCCGAGGACGCGCGAGATGGACTCAGGCGCACCGTCGCTTGAGCTAAAACGACGCGAAGATCGGGACAAAATCGGATCGGGATAACTCGAAATCTCTGAGAGTCGGCGGGTTTGGGGGATGTATTGGGCGCGGCGGCCGCTCCAGAGCGTTCCGGAACGCTCTGAGAGCGCTCCGGAACGCTCTGGAGCGATTTATCCCGATCCTAGCCCAGTTTTATGAGCGGTGACCGCCCGTCCCGGCATTCCTATAGGCCTACCACAGCAGACTCTCAGAACCCGAAACATACTCGAAGAACAGAACAGTGTTCTTAGAACGTACAGTCGGGGCGTTGACCTAAGGGACCCTAGATAAAGAACGAGGCCCCTTTTTTCCATGAGTTAAACTTCGATTTCCGATCGAAAACAAAAGGGAAACCTGAGGCAAGCTGTGAAACTGAAGAAGGAGGGCGGAGCCCCTCCCAACGAAAAGGGTTCCTTCTTCAGGGCCCCGACTGTACCACAACAGACTCTTAGAACTCGATAAATGATCGAAGCACAGAACAATGTTCTTAGAACATAAGCCCGATGTGTCAAAACAATACAGCCCGGGCCAGAAATGTTCTCAGAAGATTTCGCGCAGACCACAAAGGGTTCGTAGAACATTATTTGGTAGCCCTATCAACACGCCAAGACGTTTCGCCACTGCTTGAATCAAGCGCACCGTCGCGCTGTGGTGCTGTCGACTCGGCCACGAGTCAAACCGCAAAATCCATCCCACGTCGTTCGCGGTCTGCCTCGGTTGGACAGGCAACTCTGCATCCGCAGTGCCGCTTGGGGTCCAGGCCGCAGCGCAACTCAACAGCGTGTGCCGGCTCAGACGGAGCAAGCTTTTCCATGCACGCGAACTTTGCTGTTGATGAGCTTCGTCGCCCAGTGGTGAATGGGCTTGCGAGCCAGCGCCGAATCGATGTTTACCCTCCGATTTCTGTAATGTCTGACCAGTCATGCGTGCCAAGTTTGACATCTCCCACTATGCAGCGTAACATACGGCGCTTTGTGCTGGCAAGCTTCTCAACATCATTCGCTGTGAAGGGTGCTGTTGGCAAACCTTACAATGCCGTCGGGGCGACGATGATGCCGAACAGCTGGGTACGGAGGTCCAGGTCGATGTGTTTGATTTTCGACAGGGTCGCCCTGAACGCGTCAACCTTGGCCCACGCACAGCGAAGCCGATTTGTAAACATGACCATGCGCCAGTTCTTGAGGTCGCCAGGTAACTGATTCCCCAATAATACCTGGTAATCAGAAGGCCGAGATATGTTGATGAAGTCCCCCTCTGTACCGCTCTAACTATCAGACGCAGTATCGTAAAGATGCTCCTCCAAGCTGTCTGCGTAAGCTTTCGAAGCGTTTGCGAACCGCACGTGAGATGGGCATCTACCGCGGCAGCTGAGCTCGAGCTGCAAGCCGTGGTCACGTAAGGATTGTTTTCTGTCTCCAGTCCGGCATTAAACAGAAGCGGGTTGAGAACGTCATCTTGACGAACACCTCCGCTGATATTCATCATGCTGTCGGTCGTCGGCTCCGAGTCGCCCAGTACGATTTCTGTAAATCGCCAATGATTTCTTCAACTGCAAGCCTCGTCAAAAATTCGCCGGCCCAACGGGCCAGAGGCGTGCTGGGATCTCCGGTAACTGGTTCACAGAAGTTCTAGTTCGCGCGCGCGGGGCGGCCCCTGGGGGTCCCCGGACGAAAAGTACCCCGGCAAGGTCCCGGGAGGAGCCACCAGATCACTCCAGGGGAGGACCATTTTTCGACACCCCTCACGAGGATCGTGGCCTCCGAGGGGGAGGCCGCAATCGACTACCCCCCCTCCCGCCCTGAGGCCTCCAAGAGCCCCCCCAAAGGCCCTGGGGGCCCCCAAGACGCCGCCAAGGAGCCCCAAGAGACTCCCAAGAGGGCCCCAAGAAGCAAAATTCATTGATTTCTTTGGTTTTGGGGAGATTTTGCCGTCTCCACCTGTTCGGCATCGCGACGCCCCAAGACGGCCCAAGAGGCCTCAACGATCGCCCTAAGAGGCCCTAAAAGGCATCCGACAGGGCCCAAAGACGGCCCACGAGGGTTCCAAGACGGCCCAAGAGGCCTCCAAGACGGCCCAAGAGGGCCCCAAGAATGCTCTAAGAGAAGCCCCAGAGGGGGAACACGAAACAACATGTCGAGCCCTCGGCCCTAAGAAGCCCCAGGAGGCCCCCCAAAGGCCCTCGAGATAGCCCCCTGACGCCCCACGAGGCTTACAAGAGCACTCCCAAGAGGACCCCAAGAGGCAAAATTCATTGCTTCCCTTAGGTTTTGGGAAGATTTTGCCGTCTCCACCTTTTCGGCATCGCGACGCCCCAAGACGGCCCAAGAGGCCCCCAAGATCGCCCTAAGAGGACCGAACGGCCTTCGACAGGGCCCCAAGAAGGCCCAAGAGGGTTCCGAGACGGCCCAAGAGGCCTCCAAGACGGCCCAAGAGGGCGCCAAGAATGCTCTGAGAGAAGCCCCAGAGGTGGGAACACGAAACAACATTTCGAGCCCTCGGCCCTAAGAAGCCCCCAGGAAGCGCCAAGAGGCCCCTTTGAAGCCCCAGGAGGCCCTCAAAAGGCCCTCGAGATAGCCCCCAGACGCCCCACGAGGCTTACAAGAGCACTCCCAAGAGGGCCCCAAGAGGCACAATTCATTGTTGTTCGTTAGGCTTTGGGGAGATTTTGGCGTCTCCACCTGTTCGGCATCGCGGCGCCCCAAGACGGCCCAAGAGGCCCCCAAGATCGCCCTAAAAGGCATCCGACAGGGCCCCAAGACGGCCCACGAGGGTTCCAAGACGGCTCAAGAGGCCTCCAAGACGGCCCAAGAGGGCCCCAATAATGCTCTAAGAGAAGCCCCAGAGGGGGAACACGAAATAACATTTCGAGCCCTCGGCCCTAAGAAGCCCCAGAGGGGGCGCCAAGAGGCCCCTTTGAAGCCACAGGAGGCCCCCCAAAGGCCCTCGAGATAGCCCCCAATAAGCTCCCAAGCGGCGCCCAAGCGGCTCCCAGAAGCCCCAAGATGCTCCCAAATGCTGTCAAAGGAGCTCCAAGAAACCCCAAAGAGGCTCCAACAGAAACCCAAGAGGCCCCCAAGAAACCCCCAACGAGGACCCCAAAAAGGCACCCCCAAGCCCAAACGCCAGCGAGGGCACAATACGGGCCGGCGGAATGAGCGAAGCGATTAAATAAACAGAAGACTTCTGAATTCGGTGATTGTGGGGTCAGTCAGCGCTACTCCAATGCTGACGGATTCCTGTTGACTCGGACGCGGTGTTGTGCAAAAACCGACCCCACCCTCTCAGCACTGAAGAACGCGCTTTCTGACAAGTGCCCGAAAGCATCGTGCTCCAGGATTTCAACTTCCATTTCTTGATATTTTTGACGAGGTTTGTAGGATCACGGAAATCCTTACATGTCCAGGGCTTCAGACAACTGGGATGAATAACCAGGGGCAGGAAGTGGCGTCGGAGGAGGGAACAGGAGGATGGGGAGGGCGAGGGGGGAAAGAGGAGTGGGATGGGGGAGGAGAAGGGGTGGTCGGAAGGGCAAGAGGAGGAGATCAACCAGGAGGGGTGGAAGGGGGGGAGTCGGTTGAGGCTGAGGGGTACAATGAGGAAACGCAGAACATGATCGACCCACGAACCCGGAAAAGAATATAGAAATGTAACGCATGGCAACGTTTTCAAGGTGACGGGCAAGTGCAATGCTGAGTGTATCGATCTTGATGTACCGTGCCGAGGGCTGTGCTGTGCTGCACCGTGCTGAATTGCGA